CTCAAATCTTCCACAACATGTTTGTACTCCTTTTACTTAAGGAATCTAACAAACACAATTCGTTTCCCGATCTTTGAGAGATTTCGGTTAATATACACATCAACCACCGCACCATGTCGATCACAAGGTTGCGAAAGATCATTCACAGTTATTGTATCTGGGAAATTCGTAACATACACATTAACATATAGATTATCAATATTCTTTAAATTCGATTTCATGTATCCAACACCAGAGCTTTTCTCATACTGTTCATCAAATCGAATTTGATGACTCCTAATTTTCCATTGCTAGCCTTCATCCTTATTTTTCAATCCCATTCAATCAAGACATGAACTCCAATTGAGGAGAACAGACGAGAAATCACTTACCGAAAATTTCAACGACGAGAATTTTGAAATCGCTGGAGCTCTAGTGTTAAAATGATTGAGTGCACTTTCCTATTTATGTAATAGTCCACATGCATTATGCTCTTAGTAGTGTCCATTGACGGAAACAACCAACTCTTGCCGATAACACATGGAGTACAAATAACACAAACTAGTGAATCCTGGTCCTAGTTCTTAATGAGGATGAAGAAACACCTTTGGGAGGCTTGAAATCTAGTCATCATATCTCAAATAGCCAATTCTAATGATATTGCCATCAAACATATGTTCCCGAATGCATATTATGGTTTCGTTGTCAGAATTTGCTTATGAATTTAAGATCTAAGAGAGGAAGAAATTGTTAAGTGGGAAGTTTGTTTGGAAGGCATGCATCTCATACACAATATCTAAATTTGATGACAATTTATCTATCCTTAAATGTGTAATTTCTAATTAACATGACTAGCTTCGTAATATTGTTAATAAAAAAATAAGCAAGGGCATGATTCTCTAAGATGTGTTTCAATATATTGACTACTAATCTTCCTGATATCATGTATAAGTTATTGATATACTAATATGGTCGCTCATTGACGTTTGTTGTGACAAGATAAGACGTTGGTATTCTCAATGTGAAGGTATAATTATAAATATCGATATATTTAACTACTTTTTACATCGTATGAAAACGATTCTAATATACCTTCCGTAAAAAGGTATTTAACAATTTATACCACTTATTCATTTAATGGTTTGACATTCAACAATTTGCTTAATTATTTTAGACAAAAAAAAAGTTTTAATTTATAATGAAAAAATGTGCATCTCATGTAGTTTTCAAAAGTTTTAAATAGTCCAAAAGAACCATCAAATTTGGAAGTCACATCATCTACATAAAAACTCATCAAAATAGTCCAAAAGGTCCTCATCTATTTTTCGTTTGAATGTTTGATGATAATAACATTAAAATAAAATTATTTATGATAACACATAAAATGTAACTATTGTCTATCAAAAATTAAAAAATGTTTATTTTAAAACATAAATTTGATAAAAGTTGAAAATGTAATTTTGTTGATGACAATATAAAAAACTAAAAATTAATATTGATTTTTAATGACTTTATGGTTTGACCTCAAAATATTCCTCATGCACTCATTTAGTCGTTATGGCGTGAGGCATAACGACTTACGATAATATTGCATTAGGTTAAAATGAAATTATTTATGATGATACAAAATGAAATTATTTATGATAACACATAAAATGTAATTTTGCATTAAGTTACATCTTTGTGACATGTAATTAGTGTTCTAAAAGGCGCTATGACGTAATGCGCTACTCCGCCGTTTCAATAAGTCTTATGATGATGTCGTTAGATACGACGCATGACGTAATGTGCTACTCCGCCATTTCAATAAGCCTTATGATGTGTTGTCAGATATGACGCATGACAATGCGTGACATGACGTTTCACGAGACTAGACTTTTTTTTTTTTTTTTTTTTTTGTATTAAACCTAGATTTTAACAAGAATTTGGGTGTATTTTCTTAAGCGTGTTATTGAATGTGTAGTTTCAAGTGTTTTGACCTACACATTCATGTTTGCTGGCTAGGCGACTAAGTCTATAATAATCGGTTATAATGATGTTTTTAAACACGACAAACAATTTCAATAATGATACATATATACATAAAAGGATTATGACATATAAGGGTAATATATTTTAGACATTGTTCACATTTAGGCCCCGTTTGATAGTTGCTGATCGAGAAAGTGCTGACTGAGAAAGGTCTGTCTCAGTAAGAAATTCTGACTGAGTAAGAAATCATACTGTTTGATTGAAAATCTGACTGAATGTGTTGACTGGTGCAAAATGACCATTTTACCCCGATACTCTACACGTTTCTATGTAATATGAAGATAATAATAATAATAATAATAATAATAATAATAATAATAATAACAACAACAACAACAACAATTATAATAATAATAATAATAATAATAATAATAATAATAATAATAATAGACATTGATAATAATAATAATAATAATAATAATAATAATAATAATAATAATAGACATTGATAATAATAATAATAATAATAATAATAATAATAATAATAATAATGTATAAAAAACTTCCAGCATAATAGACATTAAATATATTATTTTAGAAATAAAACACAAAAACTCATTCAGCTTGCTGGTAAACACCATCCCTTTTACAAGGGAGACCTAAGTTCTAATCTTGTAACCTTCATTAGCTATGATTTTTATCCAAGCCAAGGGTACTATTGGAAACCCTCACTTTCTTTTTGGGTCAGCCATCTCCCAACTTCTTTCTCGGTCGGACCTTGCTTTCCGATTCAGACGTCAAGATTTTGTCTATCAAACACCTTTCGTCTGACCGAGTCAGCCAAAAATGTCTGACCTGACTCGGTCAGATGCATATCAAACATGGCCTTAGTTGTTTAAGTTACTTTTTGTCCACATATTACCATTAAACTTGTTTGGATTGTTTATATTACATCCTTCTGACCGATTGATATATGTTTAAGCCCGTCATAAGGATGTAATGTGAACAATACAAACAGTTTAATGATAATATATGGAAAAAAAATACATAAGGTACTAAATTCGAACAAACCTAAACTATATTATCCTTAAAAATCTTTAACCATTTCACCAACAGTTTATTCATATCACTAACAAAATACTCCAATCTTTTTGGGACCAAACTTGCTATTTGATGAATATATGTAATATTAGGTAGTTGGTCATGTAAATGCTGACCAAGGCAATAATGCTTAGTTGGAATTAGGGTGAGGAAGCGATCTAAACTCGGTTTGGAACCAGACCGTTTTACACCAATAATGAGAATCGATAACTGGACTAGTTAACTACGCTGATGCCGACCCTAGTTTTCGGTCAAATACTCGATTGGAACTAGTACGTGTTTTTACGGAGTTTGTACAACTAGTTATTACTTTGAGCCCAAATAATTATAATATACCACATCAACCAACAAAAACTAACCCAATTTATAAAGAAATAAAATGTGTATATAGTCTAAAATGAAGTACAAACAGTAAACTCAACGTTGAAACAACATAAACTTAGGTTCGACACCATATGTTACAGGTTCTATAACTAAATCAATATGTAACAAAATAAAGTGTTTATATGGTTTAAAATGAAGTACGCACATCAAGCTACGGGTTTACAAGTATCCCGACTTCAAAAGAAAGAGTTATAACAATTTAAAGAAGATGAAATATTCAATAGAACCGATTCAAACTAAAACTCATTTCGTAAGAACTTAGTAGAAATATTGTTCAATGGTAACAAAAAAAAAACGAATTCCTAAGAATATAATGTGAAAAATCTAAATAAACATATAAGGATGTAATATAAATAGTACAAAAAACTTAAATACTAAGTATGAACAAAACCTAAATTATATCATCTAAACCAACCAATCATAAAAATATAATATGAACGGTCTAAATCCCTAATCTAATAAATAAAAGCAATTTTTCCAGGTGGCATTCTATTAGCCCCTAAAATCGTTTTATCCTGCCAATTGCTTTTAACTGAAGTTCCAAAAATACCCTTCGGCCCTTTAAAATTCATTGTCCGCTAGATCCGGCCATATGATATCCCCTTGATTCCGTATATCAGTCAAAATCTTCCATCAATCCCATAAAATCAGGACTCAGTAATCCATTTGGCTTCAAATCCTTGACTTACTCTCAATACATCATGATTATAAACCTCATCTCCACCATTATGTTCTTCAACCTTAGGGTTTTTGAATGTGAAGACTGAACGAGGTAAACAATCGTTTCTTTTATTGTGATCACGATGTTTTTTCGCTTTAAGAAACTAGAGATGGGATACCTCTTAATTGATATTTCATCTTTGCAACTGTAGTGGTAAGGTTGTCGCAGTTCTTTCCATTTCCTTTCATGTATGTCTCTTCTTTCCTCCTTTCCCATTTCTTTATTTTTGTGATTTGTATCAGTTCTAATTAGTTTCAGTGATGTAAGCTGATTTTTTTTTAATTTTTTAGGGGTTTTCCCACCAACTATTTGTATATATGTCTACAACCATTGCTTCCTTCAATTGCAGAGTTCTAGGCTTTAAAGAGCTTCATGAAGACAATCACGAAGGTGACACAGGATAATCATCAGTTGTCTGTGAATTTATTTCATTTGTGCTCATTTTTATCTATAAGCTTGAAAAGAAGAATTTTACCCCATCTCAGATTTGTGTTGATGAAGATGATGACACAGGATAATCATCAATAACTAAGTGCAAATGTATGAGAAGATTTAAATTTTAACAAAACTAGACAAATTTAATGTTTTTTGCAATTAAATCTACCATACACTATGGTTCAGGTTGATCAATTGAAATGGTACTCTATCTAAAAATCAGAATAATCAACATTCTTATAGTTTTTTTTTTTATTAAAAATTGCACTTTTAGATTTTTTATTAAAGATCACACAAAGCTCCACAGATCGCAGGTAAACCTCTTTTTGATTTTAAATTTCACATTAGGCCGTTTCAGTTTCTTAATAAATGTGCTTAATTTTTATAAGAGATTGAAAACAATAAAGCTATGAAGAACCCATTAGCCATCAGTTTCGCCCACCAGGTGTTTGTGTTAATTCCTCAAAGATATCGCCTACTTTCATTATTGGTTTATGAGTTTTTTTGTGGCTTTTCTCCCCCCACCCCTTTCTCACAATCCATCTGTTATAGGTATGTGTTCATTTTTGAAGTGATCTGATTCCACAATGACTAACATTGCTTAATTTACAGAAATCGACGGACTGGAACATGGCTAGCAGCAGTGTCACATCTAATTGCACCAGGTTTAACTTACACACTAATTGCACATGTTGGAGTTTCGGTTGAACATCCACATCTCCATCTCCATGGCCATGGCCATGGCCAAGTTGATGTCATCGCCACCCTTAAACTTGAATATCATGGATCAGAAACAAAGTATATGCAAATCATAAGGTAAATGCATATTTCAGTCACTTGTGGGCCACTGTATATATGATTTAAATTTCAGGAGTTGTTAGAAGAGTAACCTTTTTTATTTTAGGACTTCTGTTTCCAAAGAGAGGTGGGAGAAGTTAGAGGGTACATTTGTGTTGCCCGAGAAACCTGACCGAGTTGTGTTATATTTAGAAGGACCTGCCCCAGGAGTCAACATTCTCATAGAATCGTTGGTGGTCACTTGTGCTACTTCTCATGTAAATTCACCCTTCTTTTAAATCACTTTGAATTTAATAATCGAATATATTTTCAACAAATAAAAGATAAATAAGTCATTTTTACAGGGTATAGTTGAAAGATATGTTGTTAAAGATGAAAACATCATATTGAACCTTAACTTTGAACCAGTGGTTGATTTGATGTAGGTTTTTACCTGGTTTATTTTCATTTCTCCTTTTTGTAGATTTTTTATAGTTAAACAATGAGCCTTTTTTTTTTTTTGACATTTCTAGGTAAATAGCATCGAGCAATTATGCATTCATTATTCAAATGAGAGATTAAAACAACACCATAATCGTCATTTGTTCAAGATAGAATAAGGGGCAGCTAATCTAATTAATCTTTTCTGGTATAATCTAACTATTATATTCGGTGTCTGAATCATGGTGTTCGTCTATAATGAAACCATTTGGGAAGAATGTTGGACTTTGATATTGGTTGCATCCTAGGCTACTCAACGTCTAGATACTAAAATGAAAATGATTCTTTTGGCCAAGTCCAACCGGTTTCTGTACCTAGAGGTTTTGTCTAAGTCTTTCTTGCAATATTTTTTTTTAAATCTAATGTTGTTTCTTAAAGATGTAATGATAACTTTTTGTTTAAACAGTTGGGTTAAGAAGTTACAAGCCGGATGGTGTCTTTATCTATTATTACTATTAAGAGTTAAGACCTCATTTTTTTTACATTGCTACCCTTTAACTAATTTATATTGTATTATTTGTTTCTTTTATAAATATTACCTATGCTTCATAAGATCATTTAACATTATAGTTTGGATTTTTTATTGTCTTTATTAAGAAAAATAAAACCATGGATTTTTTTAACTTTTTAATTATGGCCTATCAAACATTTTAAGAAACTTTCTATAGTTATTACATTTAGTGAATTCAATTTCGAACCAAAACTTCACACTTTAAGAAACTTTCTATAGTTCCCTAATTGTTATATTTAGGAATAAGATTTTTTTTTTTTTTTTTTTTTTTTTTTTTTTTACATAGAGCAACTTTTTTATAGTTCTCTAAAACAACAAGCTTTATGATTTGAAATATTAATTATCTTCTCTAATTGCTTTTACCCTTATTGTGTGAATTTGCAACTTTTGTAGGATTCAACAAAATGTGTTTTGTAGTTCTAAGATGTGATCCAAGATTTAATCGGGTAACCATTGAGTGAAAGACCGAGGTTTGGAAACCCAAGTTTCTTTCAATTTACTTTTGTGCTCTTTTAATACATTTAGTTGATTTGTATACCAAAAGATAGAGTAGTTTATTTCCTGTTGGAATATTTTTCTAATTTTACTGTACTATATTTTATGAGAAGAGATGGTGTATTGTTTACAAAGAAGTTGTTAACTATAATGGTAGAAACCGCATGATGCTTTCATTTTTGATATAAAAAAGAGTATGGTTTCATTTCTAAGTTAAAAATAACACGTTATTTTTATTTTTTAGGCAAAAATAACATTCCATTTTTATTTTTAAACCAAAAATAGCATGCTATTTTCATTTGTGGAGCAAAAATAGGATGTTACTCTCGATGATGGCTCTTGGTTATGCTTCAATGTTCCTGGATGACTTTAAATTTTATTAACAATATTCCTTTTTATCTATATAATAATTATAAGCATACCACCCGTGGTTTCCACGGATTATAACATAATAAATTCAATATTAGATAAACAAAACTTAAACTATCTTACTTTATAAGTAATCATCCCATTAAAAAAAAAAAAAAGCAACCGACTATATACAGTAGACGAAATTTATTATCTTGAGTCATTAAAAACCAATATAATCTTTTATATATATAAGTTTTTATGATTAACAAACCAATTTCCTTGTAATAATTTTTAGTGATTATTGGAATAAGCGAAACTGTGATGCACCACCTCCAATCCATGACACATTGAGAGGTATTCTTCCAACTCTCCAATCAACCGCCGTGCCCCATTTCACCCAACAACCCAATCCATGGCCGTCCGTTTCATCAACCAACTGTCCTCATCGATAACTTTCTAACTACAACTGGGGTTTTTCTACAATCTCCGTTACTCGATCCATCGATCCAATCGATAACCCTTTCTGTCAATTTCACCATGTCGACCACGATGCCATCTCAATCTCCGTCATCTTCCTCCGAAGACACCTCCACCACCATCGATTCGACGCCGTTGCTCAGCCCAACTTCCGATGGCATCTTCCGCAGCCGCCAATTCGCCAGAGGCACTCCCTCCCTCCGTGGCGCCGCGAGATTCCTCCGTCGCGCAAGTAGCCGACGGATGCTCCGTGAGCCGTCGATGCGTGTGAGGGAATCGGCGGCTGAGCAAATCGAAGAACGGCAGACCGATTGGGCTTACTCACGCCCGATTGTGATCCTAGACCTAATTTGGAATCTTGCGTTTATTGTTGTTTCGATTTCTGTACTGATTATGAGCCGAAAGGAGAATCCAAAGAGACCTTTGAGGCTTTGGATTGTTGGATACGCGTGCCAGTGTTTGCTTCATATGATTTGTGTGTGTGTTGAGTACAAGCACAGATACCAGCAACGTTCATCGGATTATGGTGGCAATTTGAGATCGGAAGTTAATAACGGAAATCGAATTTCAAATTCGAGTTCCAACTCTTCTAGCTCAGGGAGCGATGAAGGGGAGAATGCAGATTTTCCATCAAATAGTTTGCAGAATGATGATGATACCAGGTACAATCTTCAACCAAGTTTTCATTATGTTTAAGAAACACAAACACCAGTTTTCTATGAGTTACTTCTTGCATAACACTTCAAGTTCATTACATTTACCTGTGGCAGTGTGGCAAAGCATTTGGAGTCTGCTAATACAATGTTTTCGTTCATTTGGTGGATTGTTGGATTCTATTGGGTGTCTTCCGGTGGTCAACATCTTACTCTGAATGCACCTCAATTATACTGGTTTGCCTTTTTCTTTTCCTTTTTCATCCAAATAAAGTTCAGTGTTTAAAATTAATGTTTTCTTTTCTTCGTGATGATTTATACATGGCTTCTTTTTCAGGTTGTGTATTACATTCTTGGCATTTGATGTGTTTTTTGTGGTCATCTGCGTTGCTGTGGCATGTGTTGTTGGAATTGCTGTTTGCTGCTGTCTACCTTGTATTATTGCCATCTTGTATGCAGTGGCTGATCAGGTAATTTCTTGTTTTAGCGCTGTTTCTGTTATCACACAATAAACATTCTTAAAATAGTACAAGAATCTGTGTTATATCATTAGAGTTATATTAATAAAGTTTACTATGAATTTAAGCACTGGAAAAACTGATAACGATACTCTTGTCTGATAGAAGTTCACAAACGCAATTGGAAACAAGTCTTTTCATGTTGTTGTGGCATTGTTTTCACACAATAAAGAAACCTGAAATAGTGCAAAACTAATTTCAGTATCTATAAAGTTATGTTATATTACATTTACTATGAATTTAATACCTAAAAGAACCGATGACCATACCCCTTTGTGATAAGTCACAAACTCGATTGACAAGTCTTTCATGCTGTTAATTGTTATAACACTGTTTTCACGCATTCTGACTAAGCAAACAAACTTTAAATAGTACATTAGTACAAGACTAGTTTTAATATTTTTAAAGAAGTTTAATTAAAGCACCAAAAAAAGTGATAAGCTTTCTTTTTAGTGATAAAAGGTCACAAATTCGACTGGTAGCAAGTCATTCATGTTATTGTAGAACTCCTTTCACACAATAAACAAATTTAAGTTAGTGCAAAAGTGCAAAACTAATATCTTTAGAACTATGTTATATAAGTGTAATATAAATTTAAGCACAAAAAAAAACTGATAAACATACTACATAGTAAACTTTATTATGTTGTTGCAATTTACTAATGAATTTAAGCACCAAAAACCGATAAACATATTCCTTTGTGATATGTCACAAACTTGTAGCACTGTTCTCACAGAATAAACTAACTTACAGTTGTGTGGAACTAATTCTAATATCTTTAAATCTATGTTAACTGTTATTGAAGTTAAGTATGAATTTGAGCACGAAAAATAACTGAAAAGCATATCCGTTTGTGATAGAAGGTCAGAAACTGGAATGGTAAAGTGACAACAAATCATTTATGTTTTTGTAGAATTGTTTGCACACAATGAACAAACTTAATAAAATAGTGCAAAATTAAGTTCTGTATCTTTATAGTTATGTTATTGAAGTGTAGTATGAATTTAAGCACAAAAAACAGAGTTTGTGATAAAATGTGACAGCAAGCTGCTTATATTGTTGAACAGGCTTAAAAATAGTGCAAAACTACTTATAACAGTATCTTTAAAATTATGTTATCGAAGCTTACCATGAATCTAAGTGATAAATACACAATAAACAAGTTTCATATTTCCCAAAGTAATTTTATTAATTTGAATTTTGAAATAGGAGGGTGCAACCAAGGATGACATTGAACGACTCCCTAAATACAAATTTAAAAGAATTGATGATTTCGAGAAACAAAATGGGGAGATTCAAAAAGGTTACGGTGGAATAATGATAGAATGCGACACCGATTCCCCCGTTGAACGCGCTTTATCCGAGGAAGATGCCGTAAGTCAAGATTGATTATCTCTGTGAAAAGACATAAATAGCCCTAAAAAGCATGTCCAGTCCAGTAATATTTATGACTTTTTTTTTTTTTTTTTTTTTTTTACAGGAATGTTGCATTTGCCTTTGTTCGTATGATGATGGAACCGAACTCCGTGAGCTCCCGTGTTGTCACCATTTTCATGCCCCGTGCATCGATAAATGGCTGTACATTAATGCCACCTGTCCTCTTTGCAAATTCAATATACTAAAGAACACCAACCAAAGTGGCAGTGATGAAGTATAAAAAATATAATAAACCTTTTTCTTTCATCCTTAAAAACGATCTCATTCCTATGTGATAAAAATACATATTAGTGTAAATTTTTAATACAAAAAATCTTCCCATTTTGGCATATTTTACTTGGAGATGTAAAGTGACATACATGTGCATGTTGTAACTTGTAAGGTATAGTTTAGTTCATCGCTGGTGTTTGTACAACGTGCATTATGAGTTGTACTCTATGCATTATATTGTTATGTGTAGGTTCTTGAGTGTGGCTTTTGCATATTGGTTGTAGTCTATACTA